CGGACAAATAATACTGCTCTTGCGTATGTGTTTGGACATGACCTGATATTAACATTGTATTACCGAATCTACTGGTGTAACAGATAACAATCTAAAGGGAGAATCTAGCAAAATATAACATCCCATTAGATGTGACTCACCTGGCGCTTCAGGAAGTTGAGTTGCTGATACGTCATCCATTGTGAGGGGTCCCTCCTGGACAACTGGATCAGGCTCCTGGCACTCAGGTAACTCCTAGGAGCATTTTTACCTAGTCGTTTTTGGTTCAAACTCACACTGGTACCAAACAGACCTGAATCACAAACAGACACATACAATCAAAATGCTATGTTTATATGGACAACAACTGAAATGTCATAGAAAACCGATAAACAAATTAGCTGCGTAATTTAAATGGTTCACAACCGCGAATGAACTAATGTATTAATGTATGCTTGTCCAACCTGGCTAAATACCTATCAACAGCAATATGGTGTTTGACTAGCATTAGCATGCATGGTTATTTATAGCAACTCTTCTCTGCAATGTGCAATTTAATACTTTATTTCTGGCAGGGCAACACCATACACTAAAGCACATATCCTGGTTTCACGGAGAGATGGTTGGCACACATACTAGCCCTTAATATGTAAAGGTCACACAACATTGCTAACTAGCTAGTTGACAGCCATTCATAACATAGCAATATGCCAGTTAGCGTTTAGCATGCTAACAAGCAAGATACCTAATCCGGTGTGTTTTAGGGGTGCGAAAGCGGAATAATTTACTATTAACGTGGATATACTGCAACGATCTGCGTAAGATAGTTCTGCTTTTACCCGTGAGTCTGCTACACGGCGTTTTGTACATTTTAATGTAGCATAGCCGGTGCGCTAACGTCCTTTTCACATGTCGCAAGTCGCCATTTTGACCTCGTCAGAGCTGGAGAATCACTTCCGGGAACACAGAACGCGCATGCGCAACTCGGGTTGATAGACGATCAAATAAGGTCTTTGTAAACATCTCTAACCAAACCTGCCCTAAACGCAATTTAATCAATAAGTACTTCATAAATTACTTATACAAATAGAAACGTGAAAGGTATACACTTAAGTAATATAGTGAAATAGATTTTATGTAATTAATTTCATACTTTCGTGTATATAGCCTATAGTATGATTTCAAAATGCAATACATCTGTAGATTATTTTAAGTATGCCAAGATAGTACAATATTGTGTGTCAATCATTATAAAGTAAAAAAAAAACAGAAACTTGGATGATTCTGTCTGAGAGAAGACCAAAGTGTATTTTGTCCACATGCACTGTATAGGATGGACCAGAGGTACACAGATCTGCAAAGATACCTGTTGGACAATGGCATGAGTTGGTGTAACCTTGGAGTCATAATGCCTTTAAAACTCCAAAAATCGAGAAATACTATAGGCTTACAACCCGAGTATCAGTGCCTGCCTTCTGATAATCTAAAATGTTTGTCCCCTGACCTAAACACCTTTTAAAAAATGACGTGGGGTGAGCAAACGAGAAGAGGACCTGTATCGAATTTATTTAATGTCTCAGATCTCTTATTAGAATCATGTTTATTGCCAGGATTGGCACAGAGGTCAGTGCAACTGGTCTGTAGTAATTTAGCCCTGTAATCTCTGTTTCTTGGGGACCGGGATGATGGTGGAGGAGTTGAATCAGGCTGGGACGCTGCATGACTCCAATCATTTTTGGAAAATGTGTCTGTTAACACTGCAGATAGCTGGTCAGCACAGTGCTTGAGGGTGGAAGCAGAGACTACATCAGGACCAGCTGCCTTCCTCGGGTTTTGACTCTTGAATAGTCTTTTTACATCCCTTGGTTGTGAGTGTCTGATGGTGGTGGCAGGAAACAGTGAAGGGGGGTGCAAACAGGACTGCTCCTTTGTCTCTCAAATCTGCAGTAAAACTGGTTCAGGTCATTGGCAATCGTCTGTGGCCTGGGGTGATTTTCTTTTGGAATTTGTTATCTTTTTATTCCCCTTCCAGATCGAAGCAGTGTCATTCGCTGCAAGCTGTTATTTGAGTTTCTCCCCATACAAGCCTTTAGCCACCTTTACTGCATTTGAGAAGTCGTACTTAGCTTCTCTAAGTAGGTCCCGGTCCCGCTCTCTGAAAGCCTCCTCCTTGATCGACCACATACTTCTAAAATCAGCTGTGAACCAGGGTTTGTCGTTGTCTTACCGAACCTTGAATTGAGTTGTGATGCAACTCTCCCTCACAGAAGCTGATGTATGAGGTCACAGCATCAGTATATTCATCAAGGTTGTCTGTGGCGGCTCTGAAAATGACCCAATCAGTACAGTCCAGACAATCACGTAGAGACTCTTTGGCTTCACTGCTCCACTTTTTTTTTACTTGCTACCATGAGCACAGAGAGTTTGAATTTTTGCCTGCATGATGAAATTAGATTGACCATCATGTGTCCAGTGCAGCACGGGCCACAGCATGGCAGGCATTCTACACTGTAGTGTAACAGTGGTCTAGAGTGTTTGCATCTCTGGTCGGGATATTAATAACTCGTTTGTATTTAGGTAGCTCGTGGATCAGGTTCCCTTTGTTAATGTCGCCAAGGACGATAACTAGAGAGTTTCCTCCTAATATTATAAGTTTAATAAGCACTTTCAGAATGGCAAGGATAGCATGCAAAAAGTGCTAAATTAATGGTTGGTTAAATTAAATACATTTTTTAAAAGTTGTTGATTAGTCTTTTAAGTGATCAATGTGTACCTTGAATGTTTTAGTCAGGAGTGTAGATTCAGATTTTCAGAAGTACTTTTTTCCACATATTTTTTTAACAACATTATGTGCCTACTATTTTAAGAAATACGTATATTGAACACCGTGTTAATGATCACATGTTTAGTCAAAAGATTGAATTGCCATCAGTACGATGATGATCATTGTGTTTCGATATTATTTAATTAACGCTTAAAGACCAACAGGTCCATATTTTTTGTCATTCCACCCCAGATCGAACAACATGTATACTGCAGCAGGTTTACCTGGTTATTACGATAGATAACCATTTCTCCCTTTTTCATTTCGCCATCCAGACAACCCTTATCACTGTCGAATAAATCTGTGTTGCCTGTGGGATTCGTTTTACTCTGAATTGCCTTCTAATTCAATGTCGGGCTCTTTTGCCTTCCTGCCCTCTCGTGTCCTCTGCGTAGCCCCACTTCTTGGCCTGTTATTTATGTTAGTGATCTTCCTGATGGCCTGAGCTGCCAATGGCGTCTGCATGATTAACATCGCCCAGCTCTCCTCATCCCCGGCTTGACTTTGCGGCCTCGTTTGAGTGGTGAGCAGCAACGCAACTGGTCAGCGCGTACCACTAAAGACGAATAAACCGAGTGGGTAAAAATCTAAAGGACTTTTCTGTCACATCCAAAGGATATAGTAAAATAGGTGAAAGAACGCTTGCTGCGTTGTTTGCATATTTGCATTCGTTAGGACGGATTGACAGTTCCGCTTGGTTATCAACATGATTCTGATGACAGTACATGAATCAGGTAAAGTAATGGGTCGTCCGACAATTAAGAAAATGCCAACATCGTGTCTCAGCAGAGTGTCGGGTCACGACGAGCAGCCAGGAGGCGGCTTCAGCGAGACTTTGCATGGATTCTGCACGTGTCTGGAGGGACGCCACATTCAAGACAAATGACATACTTTGGTGTTTTGTTGACGGCGGAATACGCAGTCCCAGGCGATGCTCTGGAATCTCCAATAAGTGTTAAATTATGGTTGCGATCTGGTGAGTGAAATGGCCCGGGGCTCTCAGTTAAACATCAACATTTTTAATTCATGCTAAACAAGCCCCATCTCTCTGTGCGGGCCGTGTTTTGCTTGTTGGGTACGATCCAATTCATTTATTAAAATGTTCTGCTGACATGGCTGGTAAAAAAAAATAAGGAATCAACCTTCCTGTGTCATTCAGCATCGTGCTCCGGAGCTCCTTCATGCTCTCGGACGGTTTCATTCAGCGCAAAAGGCACGCCGTCACCGTGATTCAATCAAATCTGTGTATCCCGTCCCATTCCAGCCATCCCATTTCTCTGATTCATCTCGTTCATTAGAGCTTCCTGCTGCAGGCCCCTCCCCTCCTCCTTCCTCGGTAAGATTACAGCGTGTAATCTAGTTGCTCCATCACGACGGGGAGGACTGATGAATGTCAGCCGTACACACCACGTTCCAAACGGCACCATATTCCCTAGCGCATTCCTTCGGACCAGAACTCACACGGCCGTGGAAAACCAGGTCCGCCAGTCGATAGGGTGCGCTTTGGGACGAACCCCGGAGCTAGCTCCACGGGACCGTTATTACTGGACATAACCATTTCGAGCTGCGCTACAAGATTTAATTTCGCTCTGACCCGGTCATCGTCCGTTGTGTGAGTTTTGATATGAGCGATAAAAGGTTTTATTACGCCCTTACACACCACTCCCGTTTCTGGAGTGGAATTCACATCGGCTCTTGATCTCGCTTCTTATTACCTGTAACGATGTCCGTAATCCCTTTCGGGGAGCTATTCGGCTAACGTTAAAGCCACATCTTCGCGCTGAACGCGCCCTGATCGTTGGTCGGCTAACTTTACCTGGGAGCTCCAGCAGAGCGGCGGCCCTCACCTCAGCGCAGATAAAATGAGTGAGAGCCCCGGTAGAATATCAGAGGACGACTCATACTAACATCAACTATCAGTCTGGTTCATAAGAATGGCTTGTCTGTCACACGATTATGGGATGGGAATCATACTTGTTTATATAATTTAGGAATAATTCATACTGGTGCCATTCAATTTGGAGGCTTGAAATTAAGGAATAGGAAATAAGTTCAAGCATTTGGATTTAGACATTTTACAACCTGGCCATGAGAGTTATTGGACAGCTTATGTATGTTGGCCAGGATCACACAGATTATATCTTTGCTAAGATATCGCAGGACCAAGACAGGACTAGGGCAGGACCAAGAACAATATGGAGTTAATAGCTCAGTGGTAGGGTGCATGCTTTGTGTGTATGCTGTCCTGGGTTCAATTCCCAGGTTCTCCCCAGATCGCTGTTGCAAATGAGAAACTGTTCTCAATCGGCATACCTGGTAAAACAAAGGTTAAATAAAAAAAATACCATGATAATATCCTGTTCTGGTAATGGTAATCACTCTTAAGCTGTCCACTAATCTGCACTACTCTCTGCTTTTCTCCTCTCCATACTGTTTGATGCATGGACAGCGCGACACCCAGAACCTGAGGAATCACTGGTTGCAGTGTGGAAAGGCAACTTTCACTCTCAAGACCCAAAAGATCCCCCGCCCCCTTTAAGGGTGGTGGTTTCAAGGTTCCAGCCTTTTATTAAACCAATTTATTAGCATCTTGAAAACATTTGTAAACTTCTTTACAACAGAATTGAAGTAACAAGCGGAGGTCTGGTGAGAGTTACACCTGTAGTGTGTCTCTGACGTTTCTGGGTAGTGACAGATTAGAAGAGTGATTCAACAGTGGCCAGCGGTATGTTTGTGAAATTGATCAAATAATATTGTGCAAGCGGTACACTCTGTATTTCCATCATACTATTTATTTGCCAGGTTGGCATGTTCGAGGTAAACAAGTCTGGAACAGTGACGCTCTCGGAGAAGAAGCAGGAATAAATATTTACCCGCGCAGCTCTTGTGGCAACATGACGAGACACTACGACCGTTTTGGAAAAACGAAGGAGCACGTTCTGAGTATTAAACGAATCGGTTACTGACTGAACGGAAGAGAGATCGAACACATTAGTCAATGGAAAACCCCGGATTTATTGTCTTAATTCATGGCACAATTCTAATGATTTATATAGAGAAATAAAACATTGCGCCGGTTTATTGATTAATAAAAGTCCACATGTCTGGGCCGGACTGCTACGGCTGAGACAGACCTGGACTCATTTCATGGTCCCATTTTTATGTTATTTTAGGAAGTAATTCCTCCTGAGCGATAGATTGACCTTGGTTACAAAAATCTGGACATCAACATCCCTCTTAAATATCTAATGATAAATACGAGGAATCATAAAAAATAAATGGTCAGCAAACATGGTCCAATCTAGACTGGAATTTAGTCCTATATCCAGTAGGATGAATAAGGATGGGACAATATTAGGGGTTCTTATATTCCGGTAGGTTCTCTGTGTTTGGCCATGTCTTTGTGTGGTATTGTTCCGTGTTTTGTGTCGTGTAGTTGAGGCTTGAGATGACCTTTCTCCAAGTGAGACCTTGTGGGCCTTATAGCGCTGCGTCGCTTACTTTAGTGTTTTCCATAAAAGTTACACCAGTACATGTGTTTGTACTTGGTTTTGTTGTCGGTTGCTATAATTAAACGAGCGACACTTCGCTTTCACTCCTGACTCCGGGTTTCTCCTTTCATTTCACCTCGCCGGTCATTGCACTCATTAGCACATTTCAAGTGGCCGCGGAATTTACCCGGCTTTCCAATTCAAACGCCGATTCCTGGTGCCTTGCTGTGAAAAGGCGACATACTGAATCAATTGAAGGTAACTTGGGAAACATGTTGTATACGCAACACATTGAAGGGCCATTAATAGACTTCAATACTTAGGGGCCTCTCTCTTTAAGTCCAGAGCAACACCTCATACGGCCCCCATTGTCCGGCAACCCATGTCACTATTTTCCACGAAGGAGGCAGGTGCGGAGCTAATTGGAGTTTTAATAAGTATCTTGACTAAACAAACGCAAAGATGTGGTGGAGGTACGACCTTAAAGCTTGCAGGCTAACGGACAAGTAACTAAAGAACGATCGACGGCAACATGGGAACCAAAGGAAGATGCCTGTACACGTGACGATAATAATGACGAGACAAGTCCCGGAGAGATTAATGATGGCAACGTTGGTGACGCAAATGAAAAATAACAAAGGAAGGAGGTGCAGGTGTGCCAGTCCAAAGGCTTTCATGATCTGCGCTTATATGTTTTGTGTCTGTGTGTTTTATACAAAGCAGCGACTTTGCTCTAATGTCTTTTTTGTGCTTCATTCAAATCAGACATTTGACCAAAAACATTCATAGGCTTTACTAAATGTGAGTCATATACATGTGTGTCTAAATGTGAGTCATATACAAGTGTGTCTAAATGTGAGTCATATACAAGTGTGTCTAAATGTGAGTCATATACAAGTGTGTCTAAATGTGAGTCATATACAAGTGTGTCTAAATGTGAGTCATTTCCATGTGTGTCTAAATGTGAGTCATTTCCATGTGTGTCTACAATGTGAGTCATATACAAGTGTGTCTAAATGTGAGTCATATACATGTGTGTCTAAATGTGAGTCATATACAAGTGTGTCTAAATGTGAGTCATATACAAGTGTGTCTAAATGTGAGTCATATACAAGTGTGTCTAAATGTGAGTCATTTCCATGTGTGTCTAAATGTGAGTCATTTCCATGTGTGTCTACAATGTGAGTCATATACAAGTGTGTCTAAATGTGAGTCATATACATGTGTGTCTAAATGTGAGTCATATACAAGTGTGTCTAAATGTGAGTCATATACAAGTGTGTCTAAATGTGAGTCATATACAAGTGTGTCTAAATGTGAGTCATTTCCATGTGTGTCTAAATGTGAGTCATTTCCATGTGTGTCTACAATGTGAGTCATATACAAGTGTGTCTAAATGTGAGTCGTATACACGTGTGTCTAAATGTGAGTCGTATACAAGTGTGTCTAAATGTGAGTCATATACAATTGTGTCTAAATGTATACATTGCAAATAAACAGGAATCAGATTGTGATTCTGCAGTGAAAGTACAAATAACAGATCAGCCATCTCTCTTGCTGTGTGGCGCGTGACCCCAAAGATAACAGCGAATTAACGGTCTAGTGAAAACCTGTCGTCGCCCCAGTTCATCATGAGTGATTTACTGTTCCTCAGACAAAAGTGCCATCACTAATCCTCCGGGGTGGTCATTTAAACTGCTGTTATGCGGAGTCAGACCTTAATAAACAAACAGGCTCGGAGATGGAGGCAGACGGGCAGTGACTGGCTGCCTGCATCGTCATCAGGCTGCAAAATGGTCGCTAGTGCATACTTCTGCAATCGTCTGGGTAACGCCGTGGCCAAGCTCGTGATTGGCCGTGGGTCATCAATCCACCGTAGTGAAACACACACATGAAACACACACACGTACCACAGCACACACTTTCCCGTCCCTAGAATATGGACTGTATAGGTCATACAACGCCTGAAGGCTCTAAACCGAGCGTGGCTTGGGCGGGACTGACTGGGCGGTTTTGTGAGAAACCCACACGTATTCGCCGAGCGGATGTTAAGCAAACATCTGTTCTTTCTCTCTCCCGTTTTCTTTGTTATTTTTCATCGAATATATCAAATCTGATGTTGCCCCAGTCTGCCCCTGGATGAGGACAGGAATCCAGGAATGCAGATGGGAGCTAAGTGGGGGACCGTAAGCTTGGGCTGATTTTAAGGCTAATGTCGACCTTCCAATTTGGCCAATCCAAGGACTAATTTTGATGTCCAGATTGAATTTCATTCAAATCATTCAGAGTAAATGAATTGGCCATCTGTCTCTAATCCACCAGTCCTTTATTTGGCTGTTTTCACTTCCCGTCTGATTTATGGACTGGGTAGGAACCGAAGTGTTCTCTTTTAGTTCGCATTATGTTATTATGTTGGTTTGGATGCTAACTGGACATGTAGCTGGACCTGGAGCTGGAACTGTAGCTGGACCTGTAGCTGGACCTGCAGCTGGACCTGTACCTGGACCTGTAGCTGGACCTGTAGCTGGACCTGCAGCTGGGCCTGTAGCTGGACCTGTAGCTGGACCTTTAGCTAGACCTGCAGCTGGGCCTGTAGCTGGGCCTGTAGCTGGATCTGTAGCTGGACCTGAAGCTGGACCTGCAGCTGGACCTGCAGCTGGACCTGCAGCTGGACCTGTAGCTGGACCTGTAGCTGGACCTGCAGCTGGACCTGTAGCTGGACCTGCAGCAGGACCTGCAGCTGGACCTGTAGCTGGACCTGCAGCTGGACCTGTAGCTGGATCTGTAGCTGGACCTGTAGCTGGACCTGTAGCTGGACCTGTAGCTGGACCTGCAGCTGGACCTGTAGCTGGACCTGTAGCTGGACTTGTAGCTGGACCTGTAGCTGGACCTGCAGCTGGACCTGTAGCTGGACGTGCAGCTGGACGTGTAGCTAGATCTGTAGCTGGACTTGTAGCTGGACCTGTAGCTGGACCTGCAGCTGGACCTGTAGCTGGACCTGCAGCTGGACCTGCAGCTGGACCTGCAGCTGGACCTGCAGCTGGACCTGCAGCTGGACCTGCAGCAGGACCTGCAGCTAGACCTGCAGCTGGACCTGTAGCTGGATCTGTAGCTGGACCTGTAGCTGGACCTGTAGCTGGACCTGCAGCTGGACCTGTAGCTGGACCTGCAGCTGGACCTGTAGCTGGACCTGTAGCTGGATCTGTAGCTGGACCTGTAGCTGGACCTGTAGCTGGACTTGTAGCTGGACCTGTAGCTGGACCTGCAGCTGGACCTGTAGCTGGACGTGCAGCTGGACGTGTAGCTAGATCTGTAGCTGGACCTGCAGCTGGACCTGTAGCTGGACCTGCAGCTGGACCTGCAGCTGGACCTGCAGCTGGACCTGCAGCAGGACCTGCAGCTAGACCTGCAGCTGGACCTGTAGCTGGATCTGTAGCTGGACCTGTAGCTGGACCTGTAGCTGGACCTGCAGCTGGACCTGTAGCTGGACCTGCAGCTGGACCTGTAGCTGGACCTGTAGCTGGATCTGTAGCTGGACCTGTAGCTGGACCTGTAGCTGGACCTGTAGCTGGACCTGCAGCTGGACCTGTAGCTGGACCTGCAACTGGACCTGTAGCTGGACCTGCAGCTGGACCTTGCAAGGGTCTTGCATTTGTTGTGAAACATTTCTAGGTTCCACTTGGGTTATGTCTATGATGGTTCTGATGGTTCTGAAGAGATTGATGTAACCCAGTCAGGGTTCTGAGGCTCAATAGGGGTCCACTATTCTATCTAATCTG